TCAACTCCGTCATTTAGTAGATAAGCAAGTGTGAGGGGAGCAGCGTAAGGTTATCATTAAAGCGCCAAATCACCATGTAGTAAATCTACGTCCCTAAAAGGGGGGGGGGGGGGGCGTTGCATTTTATGAGGATATCAATGTCTCGAAGGCGTCATTCGTTACATACACACAGGACTATATCTGTCCATAGCAGATGTCACATTATTAATTCAATTATTTACATGTTCTACATTCAGCAAGAGCTTATTAAATTCAAAACACAATAAGTCTGTCTAATTTTTTTTTGTTTTTTGTTTAACTGACACCGGTAGTGTTAAAGAAATCCTTTTTATTTTTTTTTAAGACTCTAAGAATGTCCTCAAATGTTTCGACATTATATTTTAAAGTTCCCAATGAGTGTAGGAGGTTCTACAATGTTATTGCCCCTAAAAGCAAAGCTACAAGCCCACACGCAGGCTTAGATTAAATTGAACAACTGGAGTTGTTGTTTTTTTAAACTGTCGTGGCCAGGGATTCTCATTTCATTTTCCAACTATTCGCTCCATCTCTTATATTTTGCAAGAAATAAGTGTAACAATGCACCTCTCCGGATACTACATTGCAATTAAGTGGTTATTTTTATTAATTTTTAATGTTATATTGTTTTTACTGTTGTTTGTTAGCTTACGAAGGGTTCTTGCGGCACGTTCGTTGTTTTGTTGCTTACTGCTTTTAGGTTTCCCCATACTTTGTTTCACACGTAATACCTTCTACCTAACCTGAGTGCTGTCTCTCTCCTAATTACAGTAATTCAGGAAAGTCATATGAGTTGTTTTTTTTCATGGAAGAGCTGGGTGAAGGTGGGGGGGGGGGGGGAAACCAAAAATGTGTTTGTTGACTTGTCTATAAAGTGAATTTCGAGGGCGGGGGGGTGGTGGGGGAGGGGAGGGGGGGTTGGGCTTATGCCCTCCTGCCCTAGCCAAATGACAATGCTGGGCCCTCCTGCCCTAATAAAGAGACATCCCTGTGCCCTCCAGCCCTACCCAAATGACATCCCTGTGCCCTCCAGCCCTACCCAAATGACATCCCTGTGCCCTCCTGTACTACCCAAAATGACATCCCTGGGCCCTCCTGCCCTATCCAAATGACATCCCTGTGCCCTCGAGCCCTACCCAAAATGGCATCCCTGGGCCCTCCAGCACTACCCAAAATGACATCCCTGTGCCCTCCAGCCCTACCCAAATGACATCCCTGTGCCCTCCAGCCCTACCCAAAATGACATCCCTGTGCCCTCCAGCCCTACCCAAAATGACATCCCTGTGCCCTCCAGCCCTACCCAAATGACATCCCTGTGCCCTCCAGCCCTACCCAAAATGACATCCCTGTGCCCTCCAGCCCTACCCAAAATGACATCCCTGTGCCCTCCAGCCCTACCCAAATGACATCCCTGTGCCCTCCAGCCCTACCCAAAATGACATCCCTGTGCCCTCCAGCCCTACCCAAAATGACATCCCTGTGCCCTCCAGCCCTACCCAAATGACATCCCTGTGCCCTCCAGCCCTACCCAAAATGACATCCCTGTGCCCTCCAGCCCTACCCAAAATGACATCCCTGTGCCCTCCAGCCCTACCCAAATGACATCCCTGTGCCCTCCAGCCCTACCCAAAATGACATCCCTGTGCCCTCCAGCCCTACCCAAAATGACATCCCTGTGCCCTCCAGCCCTACCCAAATGACATCCCTGTGCCCTCCAGCCCTACCCAAAATGACATCCCTGTGCCCTCCAGCCCTACCCAAAATGACATCCCTGTGCCCTCCAGCCCTACCCAAATGACATCCCTGTGCCCTCCAGCCCTACCCAAAATGACATCCCTGTGCCCTCCAGCCCTACCCAAAATGACATCCCTCGGCCCTCCTGCCCTACCAAAATGAAATCCCTGTGCCCTCCTACCCTACCCAAATGACATCCATGGGCCCTCATGCCCTACCCAAATGACATCCCTGGGCCCTCCTGTCCTACCCAAATGACCTCCATGGGCCCTCCTGCCCTACCCCAATGACATCCCTGTGCCCTCCAGCCCTACCCAAATGACATCCCTGTGCCCTCCAGCCCTACCCAAATGACATCCCTGGGCCCTCCTGCCCTAATAAAAAGACATCCCTGTGCCCTCCTGCCCTACCCAAAATGACATCCCTGTTATCACTTGACATTTTTCACCTGATTATAATGGGACAAAGTTGTAAATATTTTCCTAGGCAATTTATCTGATGAATTATTTAGGTGTCCCTATCTTAGTGAAAATTAAAACCTACATTATATAAGGGTCCCCAATGGTATCTTCATTTTAAATTTAATAGAAAACTCTAGCGTTACGCCATTTTGGTTCAGATGTCACAGTCTCGTGATAATGACGTCATTAAAAGATCCATTTTTTTTAAACAAATAATTTGAAGGTTTAAAAACAAAATGTTAAAATTTTCCAGCAAGTTCTATATCGTTCTCCGTATATTATGATAGTTCGTCTGTTAAAAGTTGACTATGACCATTTTAAACATCGGCTCCTTGCAAGGGCTGTATCTGTTCTATTCTGCTTTTTTTCTGGCAGGGTACGTTACTGAATCCATGTACTGGCAAATGTGCAACGGTTGCAGAAGCGATGCTGCTATCCTAACGGCTCCTAGTGGATGCCAGGGAAGTCGTGAAGCTCTCGATTAACGTCGAGTCCACGGCGGCATTGTCCAGGTGGTTCCAGGCAATCAATTATTGCTCGTGGGAAGAATGATTGTTAATATTGTACTGTGTTACATCGAGGCACACAGTGAAGCATTTACTATTGTTCCGGATGTAACTGCTTATGGGGTTGTTAGAGGAGAAGTCAGTGTTTAGTGAGGGTTTGGCTCTGATTGGCTCCGTCTGTGGGTGCGCAGATTACGTTAAGTTTATGAAAATGTCAATGAGATCTAAAAGTCTATGGACATTTTAGTTTAGTTTTTTTTTTAAAGATTTCTAAACTCCCCTGGGAATTAGCCCGTTTTCGGTTAACATATCTTTTTAAAAAGTTTTTTGTTAAATGTTTGATTCTAGAATGATCTATTTTTATGGCTTTTAAGATTTATTTTTTATGTTTCTTATATTTTTATATTCGTCTATGATTGTCCTCAAATGTTTCCTAAATAATACTGAAAGAGATTTGACGCTTTCTAGAAAGTTCCAAATGTGTAAGATTTTTTCCTCAAATGTATTTTCCTTTCATAATGACCAAAGCTAATATAGAAGCTGGGACGAAACGGTCGTCAAGGAGCGGCTTTCTCAGGGCCGCGCAGCTAACATCATCGGTAAGGCTTTTAACCGCCACCCAAACCTCATATCCATTAACGGCAACACGTACTCGTGCTATTGCGTTACTTCCGTTGCGTTGCGTCATCCAAGCGGTCGGGGTTTTTGGCTTCGGGAGAAACAAAGCCTCCCTACAAGTGTGGCACGCCACGAAGAGGCAAACCCCATGTGACACCACCAAGTCGCATCGGCGGTGCGGGTCCCTGACTTAGAGACGTTCGGTCAGACCACCCCCCCCAGATATTTTGGTACTAAATTGGTCTATTTGCAAACAAAGTTAATTGTCATTTCTGCATCGGCCTAAGGAAAAAAAGAGCTATGGCAGAGTTGCTACGAAAACATAAATTGAAACAAAAATATATAAGTTTACTCAACACAAGCAGCAACAAGCACAGACTGGCCACATCCACACGCACAGACTGGCCGCATCAACACGCACTGATAGGCTGCATCAACACGCACAGACTGGCCGCATACAAACGCACAGACTAGCTACATCAACACGCACTGATTGGCCGCATCCACACGCACAGACTGGCCGCATCCACACGCACATACTGGCCGCATCCACACGCACAGACTGGCCGCATCAACACGCACTGACTGGCTGCATCGAGAAAGCAGTGTTCCTTATTCTTCAAGAGAATCTAAACATATCCAACTGAGCCAGCTTTCAAGTGAGCCAAAATAATGACACCCACCAGTGACATAATTGACTGATGTCAACTCCCACTCCAGACATGTCGATCTCTTGTCAACAAATTCCAGTTCATCGTTGTTTCTTTTGTAAAAAAAACTTGGAATTTCACATTAGCAAATGAGACATTGGTAATTTCGACGGTAGAAAAATATATCTAAATACAAATGTCGTAAATCAGCGAACTCTTAAATTACATTGAATTTTCTTGCCCGGATCACAGGGAAATTACGTCTCTTCACAAAGTCGGTAATTACTTAAGTAAAATGCTATTTTCTCTTTTAAGACTTCATGTAATTGATGTAAATAATGTCGCCGCTTGGAGAGTAATGATATTATCAACAATGTCTATCATTGATCGACCTGTTCAGAGAACATAGACCGGAGGAAAATTACCATTTGGTGACCATTAAGTATATTTTCCTCGAGCTTTACAACTGCTGTGGTTAGCAGAGAAAATAAAGGGTTAAAGTGGTTCATAATTGTTGGGGTTTTTTTTGGTGGGGGTGGGGGGTTCCAAGGTAAAAGCGGTTCGAACAAAATACTTAAAACAATGTCATCTATAATATGAAACAGGATTTATTGAGCCGTGTTCAGGTCGTGATTGACTTCACACACAGAGAGACTGTCGACAGACATTTCCGTTTATACGAATACAATGTCAAACATTGTTGTAGAAAGATGATTGTTTAAAGTCAAACACTTGGATCAACTAGACTCAAGTCACCGTAGCGTGGCAACGTGAACGAGGTTTTCTTCACTTTAAATTGCATGCGTATACGGGCGCAGGTCAAATGAAACATAATTAGAGATTTTCAGTCAGTCTGAGCAGACAAAACTATGGAGACAATTGCTGATGATCTCCGGAGTTATGAGAATAAAACATCAAACTTCGAATACGCTCAAAGCGCTGGTGACGTGCTAAGTGATTATGAAAAAGACGTTTTCATTCTACTCAATCACGTGACACTAAGCACTCTCTTCTGCCTGTTTGGAATTGTGGGTAACACTTTAAACATGTGCGTGTTTGCCAAACAAGGCCTGACCAAATCCATGAACGCAAGTTTCTTTGCGATGACCATTTCGGACGCATCAGAAATAGTTTTCCAGATCTGGCACAACTTTTGTTTGAACCCATACGCGCAGCAGATAGACTCCGTCGTCGACTTCGTCGAAGTCCAGTACCTGACCGCCGGAATCCCCAGTTTATTTTTTATGAGAATCACCGGCTGGATAACGGCGTACATAACAGCAGAGAGATGTCTAGCAATAGCGCTTCCCTTGAAGATCAAACAGATCTTAACCGCTAGACGCACGGTCGCCATTTTGGTTTTCATCTACGTCATCAACATGGAGTCCCTCATCCCCGTTTATTTTTCGGCGTATTTTGTTTGGAAGTTCATCCCGGCGCAGAACAGATCAAAACTCGGAATATCCTTCAGAAGTAGCAAACTGGAAATCGGAAAGGTTAACTCGTACTTTCACACGGCGATGGCAATGTTTACCTTCGCGTTGGTCGTCATGTTTACCGGCGTTTTGGTGTTGAGGTTAAAACAGAAATCAAAATGGCGCCGCAAGTCGACATCACGAGCTCCGCAGATGGAGAAGATGTCACGGGAGCGAAAAACGGTTGCCATGGTGACAGTGATAGCTGCTGTGATGATTGCGTGTTACGCCCCTGGTATTTTATTGACCATAGTCGCATTTGTGGACTCCGATTTCAGGATCGCCGGCCCCAAGACCAACATTTACCAAGCGGCCTGGTCCTTGGCTTTTCTCCTCCACTCCGTCAACGCAAGCGTCTCCTTTCTCTTGTACTACAAGACGAGCTCCAAGTACAGGCACACTGTGCAGGAAATGTTGCCGAGATGTTTCGCTGGGGGGAAGAAAGATGTCATAGCCGTCAGCGACTTCCATTCCTAGCCCTTGTGTTAGTTTGGTCTATTCCTTTCGAGAAACAACCAATCTTGTGAATTGTTCCGTCCCAAACAAAAACTCTACGTTTGCTGGGATGTTCCTTAGATAATTTGGCAATATTTTCACACTAACATATTAAATAAAGAATAGAGTTAGTGGTTACAAGTAAGCAGATCAGCGACTGTTCCGATTTTCACCATCAGGTCCCTATTAGAGAAATTTTATGAATATCCTAGTACACCAACTCTGTGTTGACTATAAAATGGCCTATGACAGCATCAAAGGAAAAGATCAATGTGAGTCTATGCGAGAGTTTGTCATACCCATCAAACTGACAAGCCTGATACGTATAATATTTTACAATTCAAAAAGCAAAATCAATGTTCAGTGTGAATATTCAAGAGAATTTCAGATTAGAAGAGGACTAACACTCGGAGGCATACTGTCTTGTAGGCTATTAAGCCTAACATTAGAGAGAGTTATAAGAAGCCTACATATTGCCTTCCGATAAATAATAGCAGGATACTTTCTGCGTGCAGCCCAAGACCCACAACCAAGAGGCTCTGTCTACAGTCTACCCCTTCAGAGTCTTGCATATGCTGATGACAGCACTGCTAGGGAAACGTATTAAAGACATATCAAAATCTTTTATTGAATTAGAAGATGCATCGCTACCAGCAGGGCTGAAAGTTAACAACAACAAAAAGTAAAATACGTGACTCTGATAAGAGAAGATCAGACAGATGAAGCCATTAAAATAAGAAACCAGACTTTTGAAAAAGTAAAAAAAAAAAAAAAGTGCAAAATTGAACGGAAATCTTTTATTGAATTAGAAGATGCATGGCTTCCAGCATGGCTGAAACTTAACAACAACAAAAAGTAAAATACGTGACTCTGATAAGAGAAGATCAGACAGATGAAGCCATTAAAATAAGAAACCAGACTTTTGAAAAAGTAAAAAAAAAAAAAAAAGTGCAAAATTGAACGGCGGTATCAGACCACTTGTGTAAGACCACTTTCTTACTGTTGTAAGACCACTTTTGTAAGTCGACCTGTGTAAGACCATTTGTGTAAGACGACTTTTGTAAGACCACTTGTGCAAGACCACTTGTGTAAGACCACTTTCGTAAGACCACTTGCGTAAGACCACTTTCGTAAGACCGCTTGTGCAAGACCACTTCTTACTTTTGTAAGACCACTTGTGTAAGACCACTTGTGTAAGACCACTTTCGTAAGACCGCTTGCGTAAGACCACTTGTGTAAGACAACGTGTCCAAATTATTTCTGTTTCAATTATATGAGATTAATAACACTAAAATAGCAGACAAAGGTCTTCTTTTTTTTTTTCGTGCTCTCCATGGTTCTGAATTTCAAGGAGATGCTCTTCCATTCGTCTACTGGCACTAATTCAGGGTAATAAGTTCTGGAATTGGGTTTATGTAAAGGGAACTATGGGAAACACTGTATGGGAAACCCCGGAAAAAAGGGACGCAACAAAACAACGAACGTGTCGGCAAGACGCCTTCTTCGGTTAACAAACATCCAGTAACACAAATATAAACGTTAAAATATACACAAAGTTGAAATGTAATATCCGAGAAAACAGCAGGAGGAATGTAATAGACCATTAGTAGGTAAGAGAGTTAATATAGGGTTTAGAGGAAGGAAGAGAGGAAAAGTAAGTCCAAACCGATCGGTCGTAAAAAAAAAAGGAGGGGGTGGTGAATAGGATGTAACAAGTGAAAGAGACCATCGCAGACTAAACTGAATGTCAAACCCAACAGATAATATCTCATCTAAAATCATCCAAGATGATTCTAGAATCATAAATATGGCGTCAATGATTCATTGTAGAATGATCAAAAGATTTCCATACCCTAGGCTCAACTCTTATCTCAACCCGGAATCTTCAAAGACACCAGCTTGAATCATTAAGGCGCGTATCGTAACGCCACCCTGAGCGCTATCCTAAATTTATCCTAAAATTATCCCCGATTTCATGATCGACTCAAGTCAACTTATCAGCAAATGGAAGTTAAACACGTGAGCTCATCTCACGCCCACTTCTTGAGGGCGGGGGATCACTGGGATTAAGTGTATGCGCATTTCATCAAATACAGACAAATGTACGGGGTGACCTTTCTGAAATGATAATGATCTAATTCTTGACGGTTATGTCATCACTCGTGAATCAACCAGTCTTTCAACATTTTGAACTAAGTTAGCATGTTTAATGTTGTCCCTTGACGGCCGAGACGATGATGAGATTGTACGGAAAAATCATGTACATGTATTCGTAAAAGGCAAATGGTCTTTTAATTGTACGTGGCATGTCACTTATTAGCGTTTCCTAATACTTAAGTGTATGAGATTAAAGCATGTTTAAGTGCATGTGATGGGCTGATTTTAGGAATTACCTCTCGAAGCGTTAAGCTTAAAAGCTCATCAAATAGTCTTTGATCGATCTATTGGCTACCAATGATGCGAGTTGCTATGATGTAATTAAGTAAAATTATCAAAGTGTGTGTAGTCAGAGCTAATTTCTTGATAGCATAAAGTTTAATAATATTACTGACAAGTTTCCAAAAATCAACTCTGACACTGGATGTTCAACACATTACATGAGGATACATCTCTTCGACAGTCAGAGAACCGTGTTGTAGTTCGACAGTAAGAGAACTGTGTATTAGTTTGACAGTAAAAGATATGTGTAGAACCTACACAATCAGCAAACTGTGTAGAACCTGGACAGTGAGAGACCTGTGTAGAACCTAGACCGTAAGAGAACTGTGTAGAACCTGGACAGTGAGAGACCTGTGTAGAACCTAGACCGTAAGAGAACTGTGTAGAACCTGGACAGAGAGAGACCTGTGTAGAACCTAGACCGTAAGAGAACTGTGTAGAACCTAGACAGAGAGAGACCTGTGTAGAACCTAGACCGTAAGAGAACTGTGTAGAACCTAGACCGTAAGAGAACTGTGTAGAACCTAGACAGAGAGAGACCTGTGTAGAACCTAGACTGTAAGATAACTGTATTAGAACCTAGACAGAGAGAGACCTGTGTAGAACCTAGACCGTAAGAGAACTGTGTAGAACCTAGACCGTAAGAGAACTGTGTAGAACCTATACAGAGAGAGACCTGTGTAGAACCTAGGCAGTAAGAGACCTGTGTAGAACCTAGGCAGTAAGAGACCTGTGTAGAACCTAGGCAGTAAGAGACCTGTGTAGAACCTAGGCAGTAAGAGACCTGTGTAGTGGTTTGACTCTGTAAGTCTCCAAGTATTTACAAGAAAAGACTGAGGTTTTTTATTTTTACATAGTTTCAAAGTTACTTTCGTATCTCTAATAAATGGAGGCATTGACTGACGGTAATGGGACTTCTGGGAGTTCAACTTTTGAAAGCCTCACAGACAACGAAAATCTTTTAAGCGAATGGTACAAGAGCGCTTTTATTTTAATCAATCACGTGATATTAAGCTCCCTATTTTGCCTGTTTGGAATAGGGGGAAATGTTATAAACATCTGTGTGTTTGTTAAGCAGGGTCTGTCCAAATCGATGAATGCAAATTTCTTTGCCATGGCAGTTTCGGACATCCTCGAGACGGTCGCCCAGCTGTGGCAAAACGTTTGTTTAAACCCTTACCTGCTACGAACAGATTCGATCATTGATTTTGACGACATTCAGTACCTGACCGCTGGTTGGCCCAGTCTCGTCCTTGTGAGAATCACCGGTTGGATCACTGTGTATGTCACGGCAGAGAGATGCCTGTCCGTTACGTTTCCGCTGAACATCAAACAAATTGTAACGCCACGGCGCACAGCCGCCATTTTGGTTTTCATCTACGTCACCAACATTGCAGGAGTTATCCCCCTTTATTTCTCGGCCTATTTCAGCTGGAATTTTTACCCGGCCCAGAACAGAACAAAGCTTGGGATCTCCTTCAGGCGGAACAAACATGACGTTGAAAGTTTGATCTTTTCCATCCAAGCCTCGCTGACAATCATCGCTTTCTGTTCCGTCGTCGTCCTCACATCTTTTTTAATAGTTCAGCTGAACCTGAAATCAAAATGGCGTCGAACGTCAACGCTTGAAGTCGGTAAATCCCACGGTATTTCCTCTCGGGAGAGAAAGGCTGTCGCCATGGTGATTGTCGTGGCCTCCGTTCTGCTCATCTGCTACACGCCGGCTGTTGTCTGCTCCCTGGCGACTGCCATCACGCACGACTTCAGCATCACGGGTGAACAAGTGAACGTGTTCCACGCGGTGTGGTCTTTCGCCTTCCTGTTCCACTCGATGAACTCCAGCGTCGCCGTCATTTTATATTACAAGATGAGCTCCAAGTACAGGGAGACGTTCCGTGATATATTTCCGAGATGGGGCAAAATCGGGTTTCGGTGAGCTCTGTGTCCCCTGTGACGCTGGCCCCGATAGCCGGCTGACCAGTTGTGCAGCTGGCTACTGGCTACTGGGGGGGGGGGGGGCAGGGTTTACATGGGTGGACAACGGCGGGGGGGGTTTGGGGGTGGGGNGGGTGATATGAAGCCTTATAACTTTTACCTGGGTAATGAATATGATGCATTACTTTTACTTAAACCTGTTCCGACTGGTGTGCTCAAGTCCGTGTTTTGTTTGTTGTTTTGTTTTGGGTTGTTGTTTTTTTTTTTTGGGGGGGGGGGAAGGGAGAGGGGGATAATTGTGTTCTTAATAAATCTATGTCCCACGCGGCAGGTCGTCAAAAATATTTTTATGATAAACAGATATTAGAAAATATTTGGTTTAAAATTATTTTAACATACTTTTCAATAGACATTGATGTTACAAGAAGAGCTATTGAAAAATCATAAAATTCTTTCAACTGTATATAAAAAATTGATTTTTTTTTAAAAATTGTATTGTCTTAAAAAGTGAACCGGTTTTCCTTGGGAGTTCAATACAAGAGTTTAATAGAAAAATTCAACAAAATAACACAATAATAATTCTTCAGTGTATGTGACAAATACATCCATCAAGTACATGTTATTTTGCACAAACTTTTTTTTATCCCCACCCCACCCCTTTTGATAAGTGTTTGGGAAAATTTCATCTTTAGCTCCGCTCATCACTAATTGTAGACATTGTAAACAATTTTCTTTTTCTTTTTTCAAGAAAAAAACTTTTGGTGGCCTCACAGTGCCGAAGGGGAGTAAAAAAGCTTGACCTTCCCGAAAGTTTTAATTTATCAATGGTTATTTCCCTTGACTAAGAAATCGCAAAGCGACAGCCATCGACCTTCAATCCCAACACAAGGGAACACGTTCTGATGTTTGGTTACCGGAAATTTGATTGAAAGAAATTTCGTCGTTGGTAAATGGACCGACGGTAACTTGATCGAACGGAAATTTGTTCGAATCCTTTTTTTTTTCTTCTTTTTTTCCTTTTTTTTCTCAGTTTTTAAGTTAAAATTTTGCTTCAAATTACTTTTTGAGCGCACTCTACTGTATAGTAAAACAAAATAATGCGTTCAAAAAGAAATTTGAAGCAAAATTTTAAGGTAAGACCTGAATAAAGATTCGACCGAATTTCCGTTCGATCAAGTTACCGTCGACGAAATTTCTTTCGATCAAATTTCCGGATACGAACCCCGAACCGTGTTTCGTCTTTTCATAAACAGTTTAAAATGTTGCGTAAAATGTGCTCTTGTTATTAATTGTTGTTTTTTGTTGTTGTTTTTTTTTTGTTGGGGGGTGGTGGGTCGGTGGGGAGGCTATATATGTGGTTATTTTTTTTGTATCTGTCTGACCGCCAGGATAAAATAAAAGAACAAGCCCCGTGTCTAATCCCTAGCGTCTATGAAAAAATAACTTACTATTTTCACAAAATAATCGTTGGTTTATTTGTGTAGACGTGAAAATTAGTTTGCCCCTTGGCTTACAAAGTGGCTTACTAAAGTGTCTTTATAACGTGGCTTTATCAAGTGGCTCTACAAAGTAGCTTTACAAAACGGCCCTGCAAATTGTTTTTTTACAAAGTGGCTTTACAAAGAGGTTTTACAGAGTGGCTTTACAAAGTGGCCTTACAGGGGGGCTTTACAAGGGGGCTTTTTCGAAATGGGCTTTACAATTAGGCTTTACAAAGGGGCTTTACAGAGTGGCTTTACAATGGTTTTACAAAGTTGCTTTACAAATAGGCTTCAGAAAGTGGCTTTAAAAAGTGGCTTTATAAAGTGACCATGCTTCTCACGTCCTTTAGGGATAGCAGAGCCAAATATGGACATTTGGAAATAAAAGAGTGTCCTCCGTGGAGTTGTAAAGAGGAAAGATTCAGTTGGCAATACTTTATTTTGTCTGGTGGCCGACAACGCAAAGGTCATCATGGATGTATATTAAGCTAACATGTAATTTAAACCAAAAAAAAATTATATAATAAAAATTCAACTCAAACCTGCCAATTAATTCAATTCAACTGCCAGCCAGATCCAGATCCTTGTCTTAACATTAATCAACTCAAACACATCCCAGTGACTTCCAGTTTCCGAGATGGGCCCGGGCGAGGGCCCCCTTTTTAGGGCTTGGGCCTTAAATAAGGTTTTATTTATATAATGCGAATCTGTTAAGGCGCACGTATTATTGCTTTTTAAAATTTTTAAATTTTCAACCTAATTTTTTTTTTTTAATGTAAATGTTCATGAGTGGAGAAGTGGCCCGTTGGCTGCCTCAAGGACAAGGAACAATGCATATGAATTCTATGGGCGTGTCGCCTCCAGGTGCGGAGCTATAACGAACGCCCTTAAAAACATTAAACCCAGCCCACATCAGCATAAAACAACCATCCACATCATCATCATAGCTTGGCCACATCAACATCTTGGCCACATCATCATCTTGGCCACATCAACATCTTGGCCACATCATCATCTTGGCCACATCAACATCTTGGTCACATCAACATCACAGCTAGGCCACATCAACATCTTGGCCACATCAACATCACAGCTAGGCCACATCAACATCTTGGCCACATCAACATCACAGCTAGGCCACATCAACATCTTGGCCACATCAACATCACAGCTAGGCCACATCAACATCTTGGCCACATCAACATCACAGCTAGGCCACATCAACATCTTGGCCACATCAACATCACAGCTAGGCCACATCAACATCTTGGCCACATCAACATCACAGCTAGGCCACATCAACATCTTGGCCACATCAACATCACAGCTAGGCCACATCAACATCTTGGCCACATCAACATCACAGCTAGGCCACATCAACATCTTGGCCACATCAACATCACAGCTAGGCCACATCAACATCTTGGCCACATCAACATCACAGCTAGGCCACATCAACATCTTGGCCACATCAACATCACAGCTAGGCCACATCAACATCTTGGCCACATCAACATCACAGCTAGGCCACATCAACATCTTGGCCACATCAACATCACAGCTAGGCCACATCAACATCTNCACATCAATATCAAAGCTTGACCACCTCATCATCTTGGCCACATCAACACCATAGCTAGGCCACATCAACATCTTGGCCACATCAATATCACAGCTTGGCTACATCAACATCACAGCTTGGCCACATCAACATCACAGCTAGGCCACATCAACATCTTGGCCACATCAACATCAAAGCTTGGCCACATCAACATCTTGGCCACATCAATATCACAGCTAGGCCACATCAACATCTTGGCCACATCAACATCAAAGCTTGGCCACATCAACATCTTGGCCACATCAACATCAAAGCTTGGCCACATCAACATCTTGGCCACATCAACATCATACCTTGGCTACTTCAACAAAAACAACTATCCACATCAAAAAACACTCACATGAACACACATCCACACACATCCACATTAACACACATCGACATTAACGCACATCCACACTAACACACATCCACATTAACACACTTCCACACTAACACACATCCACACTAACGCACATCCAAATTAACACACATCCACATTAACACACATCCACATTAACACACATCCACATTAACGCATATCACACAAACACACATCCACATTAACACACATCCACATTAACACACATCCACATTAACACACATCCACATTAACACACATCCACATTAACGCATATCACACAAACACACATCCACATTAACACACATCCACATTAACACACATCCACACTAACACACATCCACACTAACACACATCCACACTAACACACATCCACACTAACACACATCCACATTAACACACATCCACATCAACGCATATCACACAAACACACATCCACATTAACACACATCCACATTAACACACATCCACACTAACACACATCCACACTAACACACATCCACACTAACACACATCCACACTCACACACATCCACATTAACACACATCAACATTATTGCACATCCACATTAATGCACATCCACATTAACACACATTCACATTAACACACATCTACATTAACCAACATCCACATTAACGCACAACCACATTAATACACATCCACATTAATACACATCCACATTAACCAATATCCACATTCATACACATCCACATTAATACACATCCACATTAATGCACATCCACATTAATACACATTCGCATTAACACACATCCACATTAACCAACATCCAATTTAACGCACATCCACATTAACACACATCCAGATTAGCCAACATTCACATTAACGCACATCCACATTAATACACATCCACATTAATGCACATTCACATTAATACACATCCACATTAATACACATTCACATTAACACACATCAACATTAATACACATCCACATTAATACACATCCACATTAAAGCCCGTCCACATTAACACACATCCACATTAACGCACATCCACATTAACCCACATCCGCATTAACACACATCCACATTAACCCACATCCACATTAACCCACATCCACATTAACGCACATCCACATTAAAGCACGTCCACGTCCAGGATCAAACAATCGGGAGGATTAACACTCGTCACGAATTTCGCCCATTAGACCTCTACTGCCCCACCCCTGGCCCTGCCCTGGCCCCTCATTCACGGGTCCCGTCTAGAGGCACGCGCCATCTGTCGCGAGGAGGCGCGAGCTATTTATAGGCCACGGTCGAGTGTAATAATTATTACAATTGAATTTGTTGGGGAAATCATCTTGATAGGAATCAGCGAGATCAAATAAACAGAATCTCCTGAAGGCCATTGATGTATAATATATAGATAGATATTCACTCAAAAAACCATGTCCATTTGAATCGAAACTTAAAACTCATTGACTATACCTTTGAAACGGGAAAGAGCGCATATTTTTTTTTTGTTTTGATACGCATTTTTGAAACTGGAAGAGCGCAATTTTTTTTTTAAACTAATTTTTTTTTTTAATGGAACGTGCGCA